CCATTGTTCTCCCCTTCGTTCATGGTCCAATAGATCAATCGTTTGAGTGCCTGAGTGATTAACACCCGTTGGTTGGGAGTCTCGCTGCTATCTAACAGATGAACTTGTTAAATTCAACTTCACTGGAACTCAGCCAGTAGTAGTTTGAAATGTGGCATTTATTTGTTTAAAACGTTCACCCTCCATAAACTCCAGCTCATCTAAAACTCTGCAGTCTGTGCTGTGCGCGAACCTCCTCACGTTCACTGCTCTTTGTACAAAGTCACCAAAAAGTTGTGATACCATTACAATGTCTTATAAGTCTTAAAAGAAATGCTTTTTTTTTAGATAATAGGGTAGATATCACGACTTTTTGGTCACCATGTACATTCACTACTCTTATACTCATCGAGCTTGACTGCCTTCCAGTATCCTAGTAAATTGACTCTAAAATCCCTTGTATTTGCCTTCAAATCCCTTCAGGCTATCACTCCTAGCTATATTTGCATGATGTGAAAAAACAGGCTGTTGAAGCAAATAGAGCAGGAGTGATATTAATTATTACTATATCCACAGAATATATCCATGAGTCTGTAGCTCAGTGTTAGAGCACCGCTGTAAGCGAGAGACTGAGTTCAATCAGCAGAGCGAAACTGGCAAGTTCTTACTCCACACAGAGCTAATAAAATCCTCAAAAAAAAAAAAAAAAATAATAAATGGTCATTTTCAACCACGACTGTTTGTGGACATTGTGCGCAATGCTCCGCGTTGCCACAAATATACAGTCAATTCACTTACAGTGTGTTCTGTGAACGCTTGGACGTTCCGACGTGAAAAGCGCTCATCAAATGCAAGAATTATTATTATTATTATAGAATACGTCAATTAGGAGATGAGATGCACGGGACTTTCAGTCTGGTTTGGATATTCTTAAGCACCATATGGGTTTCCACATATGTCAAGACACCTGGTTGACAGGAAAAAAAGTTGGAGAGAACTTATATTAATGAACTTGTCCTGATTGAAAGAAATTAAAATACTGTAATATTTCAGTCCTACTGGCTCACACATTCCCTCCATTGTACAGTATCTGTAAAACTCAGGAGAAGCCTCAGTCACAGAAATATTATGAATAAGCAGCACTTTGTCCTTTCACCTCTGAGGAATGGATCGGAATCTCACTGGCTGGTCGTAATGAAAGTCTCCTTTGTCTTTGGACTACATGAGACCTACGTGAAGTAATTGTGGGCAGTCTCAGCCCAGTTTTTGTTGGGAGCGTCTAGGCAAAGAACATGATTCAGCACTTATTGGCAGGCTCATAAATAGGCCACAGAAGGGTTTATATGGGAAATGCACTCTAGTTTGCATTCAGCCAGTGGTGGGCAGTACTTGAATTGATGCTGAAAACAGAAGTTTCGGCTTGGCAAAGGGTTCAGGTTGGTTGGGGGTTGGGCGGAACAGACAGACATAAGTGTGAAGAAAGGGAAGTACCCTTAAAGTTGATACACACACACTTAACTTAAAATAAAGTGAGTCCTTCCACTGTTATTGAGTGTCTGTCAGCCTTGCCAACACCTCACTGCTTCCCACCACCCTCTCAAATGCCAAATGTTCATCCTTGAAAACATTTACCAGGCTGGAGCAAAGCTTTTAATGAAATTCCACCCAAAAAATCCTCGACTTCCTGTTAATGTATTCAACCAGAATGTACAATGTACAGATTAGGTGTTAGCATGACTCATGTGGTAATACTCTCACCTCTGGGTCAGAAATTTGTGGGATCAAGCGTCATGTTGCGATTTTGAGCTCACAGTCTAAAATGACACTCCATTGCAGTATTTAAGTAGTTCCGTATTGTCAGTTGCTGTTCTTCAACAACTTGCATTCATGTAACACCCTTAACAAAGGCATAACATTTCGGAGTGCTTCAGGTCAGGGCAGATGCTGAGAAAGGGGAAGGTGAGCTTTATAATTGTTCCATTTACGTTTGCTAGTGTGTTGGGCGTCCTCCTGACCAGAAAGGTGCTATGTAGCATAAATGCAATTTGCTGTTGAGTTGACACTCAATAATAAATCATAAAATAACCCTTGCATTTGAAGTGCCTTATCATGTAGTTGAAGTGTCTCAAAGTGCTTCATGGAATGTACTGTAAAGTGAATTAACTATATTTTCTGGGCGAAACGTGGCATCCAATTGTGCACAATACTTCTAAGCATGGTGGTGGATGTTTCTACATGTTTCAGACAGCTCAGCTGACCAGAGATAAAACTAGTCACTCGATTCTCAGCTGTCTCAGCTCGGCCAAGTTTGCTGACAAGTATGCAATCAATACTTGAAAGTACTTTCCTGTGAAGTACTTTGCGATGTTTCAACATAGATGTTTATATGAAACCCAAGGGATACCACAAACAATAATTACCTGTGAAGTGCTTTGAGACATTTAGGTACTACATCAGATGTAAGGGTTATAATTAATTACCCAGTGAAGCACTGTGCGAGGATTACTGTTATTATTACTATAGTATTACTTAGGTGTCAGCTTGGCTTAATTATTAGGTGGCACTTTTGCCCCAGTTAGAAGGTTGTGTGTTCAAGCCCCATGTTGGAACTTTGAACTCACTCCAGGCTGTCATTCCAATGTAGTATTGGGTGAGAGCTGCTTCGTCAGCGGTGCTATCCTTTGGATGAGAAATTAAACCGATGTCCCGTCTGCCTATTAGGGTCGGGTGGACAATATAGATTCCATGATGCTGTTCGAAAAAGAGAAGGGAGTTTCACCTGGTGTCTTAGCCAACAATCCTCCAGATAAAATTGGTTACTCACTTCACACTCGTGTTCAAATCCATTCACTCCATGGCACCTCCCCACCTCTCCGACCTCCTGACTCCCCAATCCACCACCTCGTGCCTCCGCTCGACTGGCACCGGCCTCCTGCTTGTCACTAGCACCCTCTGCTCTATCTTTGAGAGTCGCACTTTCAGACACTACCCCCCGAAGCTCAGGAGTACTCTAGCTCAATCCCTCCGCCTTGCCCCCTCGCTCCCCTTTTTCAAATCCCGCCTGAAAACCTTCCTTTTCGACTGTGCTTACGGACACCTTCCCTCCCCCGGCTCAGAGTCAGGCTCCGCCACTGTTAAGCGGTCTGAGACGCTACGCTGCGCTGAGGCTGCGATATAAGTGCAAGTTGTTATTGTCAGCAAATGACTTCTCCTCCAGCCCCCGCACCATCTCGTGCAGTGTTCCTCAGGACTCTGTCCTTGGTCCCCTCCTCTTCACCCTCTACATGCTCCCCCTTGGTGACATCATCCGCAGACATGGGGTAAATTTCCACATGTATGCGGATGACATCCAACTCTATCTCTCTGCCTCTACCCTCAACTTCAGGACTACTGGCATCCTGACCAACTGCCTGTCCATCAAGTCCTGGACGAGGGACAATTTTCTCCAGCTGAACAACAGCAAGACCGAGGCCCTCCTGATTGGCTCGCGCCAGCTCCTCCGCACTTCAGGTGCTGGCAGCATCAGCCTCCACAGCTCTACATGCAGCCAGTCAGGAACCTGGGTGTCTTGTTTGACCCTGAACTGTTCTTTCTCCCCCACATCCGTGCCATGACTGGCACTGCCTACCACCACCTCCGCAACATTGCCAGACTCCGCCACTGCCTCACCCCTCAGGCTGCCGAAACCCTCACCCATGCATTCGTCACATCAAGGCTCGATTATGGAAATTCCCTCATCATCGGCCTTCCCAACTCTTCCTTTCGCAAGCTGCAGATTATTCAAAACTCTGCAGCTCGTGTACGCTCACGCACCAGGCTCCGTGACCCCATCACTCCCACTCTCACCCGACTCCTCTGGCTCCCCATCTCTCAGAGGATCGAGTTCAAGATCCTCGCCCTCACTTTCAAGGCCTTGCCCCCTCCTACCTCTCTGACCTGTTGACTCCCTACCAACCTGCCCACTCCCTCCATTCAGTGGGCTTCGACCTGCTCCATGTCTCCCGCTCGACCCGCCCTACCATTGGTGGCCCTGACTGTCCAGCGCCTTGGGATGTCCTCCCGACGTGAAGGGCGCTCTATAAATTTTGTTGTTGCTGTTACTACAGACTGGTTTTGGGACATTGCTGTGCACAATTTGGGCTACAAATTGGAGTCCTGTAGCTCAGTGGTTAGAGCACTCGCTTTGCAAGCGAGAGACCTGAGTTCAATTCCAGGCAGAGGGCGAAACCTTGGGCAAGTTTCCTTACTCCACACAGAGCCTAATAATAATCCTCCAAAACCAAAAACAATAATAAATTGGTCATTTTCAATCTACGACTGTTTGTGGGACATTGCTGTGCGCAATTGGCTGCCGCGTTCGCCCACAAATATACAGTCAATTCACTTTACAGTGTGTTCCGTGAAGCGCTTTGGGACGTCCTCCTGACGTGAAAAGCGCTATATCAAATGCAAGGATTATTATTATTATTATTATTACAAATACAGTATGGGCTGCAACTCAGTGCATTCCTGTTAAGCGCTTTGAGACGCCCCGGCATGAAAGATGCTATACACATGTAATGTGTTGTTGTTATGGGAAGGTACCCCTCCCCCTTCTCTCTCTCCCCCCCTCTCCCTCCCTCTCTCCCCCCCCTCCCCCTTCTCTCTCTCCCCCCCCTCCCCCTTCTCCCTCCCCCCCTCCCTCTCTCCCCCCCCCTCCCCCTTCTCTCTCCCCCCCCCTCCCCCTTCTCTCTCTCCCTCCCCTCCTCCTCGCGCCTGCTCAGTGCAGGCGCCCTCCCAGACTGTGACGTAACACAGAGGCCGCCGCCATATTGGCGGAGAATCGGCGAGTTACGCGGCGGCTTCTCCAGCGAGAGGTTCCCGGGGAGAGTGTGAGTGGGGGAGAGAGAGAGAGGGAGAGAGAGAAGGACTTGATGAAGCCTCACTCCTGATTTTTTTTCTCGCCCTCCCTTTTTCCCCCTCCCTTCCCTTCCCTTCCCTCCCCCCCCCCCCCCACACACACAAAAAAAATTACTATCCAAACATTAAAGGGGAGGGGGAAAAAAAAAAGGGGCTGTGGACAGCTCAGCTGCTCCCTTTTCTACTCCTCTCGACCGGAGCGCCATGTCCAACCTCACCCAGAGGAGCTCCGGCCTCGTCCAGAGAAAAACCGAGGCGTCGAGGAACGCGGAGAAAATCCAGGACGACGACGAAGAGCGGCGGGAAGAGCAGGAGGAGGAGGAGAAAGGCGACTGTAAGGAGACTCGCCTGACTCTGATGGAGGAAGTCTTGCTGCTGGGCCTGAAGGACCGCGAGGTTTGACACGATTTTTTTTTGGGGGGGAAGGGGGAAAGGGTTTAAAATCGTCCCATTATTCCCTCCGCGTGTGATTTTTTTTTTAAAAAAAAGAAATGGTTCCGATTCACATTTTTTTAAAAAAATAAATAAGATTTTTTTAAAAAAAATGTTAAGTAGGCCGCAAGTTTGCAGTCTGGAGCGAGTCGACCTAACTTGAATCAAACCGTCACGGCTCGCGGTGGGGGGGGGCGGGGGGACCGGGTGGGCGTGATTGATGGGTTGAGTGACGCCCGCGTTGACCAATGGGCAGCGTGGGAAGGCCGGGGTGGTCCTCCGCTCGGCCAACGGGGCCGGACGAAGGGCGGGACTTCCGGTAGCAAGTGCGGTTGACTCCGGGTGGTTGGTGGGGGGGCGGAGAGGAGGTACACAATGCCTCAATTCCAAGTGGGCACCAGGTCAGTGCCGGCTGATGGGCTGCAGCTGAAGCGCTGCTCCTGGTAAACACGCAATCGCGGGCAGCAGTGCTGTAGCTTAATCGCACTAATAAGAATCTTTGCGTTCGACACTGCGCCTTCTTCACCTCATTGAGACCGTCTCGAAGCGCTTCGCAGAATATGTCGTAAAAGTGTAGTGACTTTGTAATTTTGCTGGGAGGGGAATCGCAGCAGCAGCAGCAGCCAATTGGGCACAGCAGTGTCCCACACAAACAGCTGTGGATTTGATGGTAACCATAAAAAGCAACCGGTAACCCCCCCTCCCCCCCCCCCCACACACACACACACAAATATTGTAGAGTTCCATAAAGTCAGTGACTCAAGAGGACAGTGTGGAGGTGCGCCAGACAAAGAAAGACTTTGCTGCATGAGTCGTTGTGCAACATTTTTCGTCAGTCTGCAGCATTACATTTGCTTTCGGAAAGCAAACTTTTTTTTGATAGTGTGGAGCACTAGTTGTTTGCTGCATTTAATTCCCCGCCCCCACCCCCCCCCAAAAAAAAAAGTACAACATGTCAATCAGTTATTTGCAGCTGAGAGTTTAGTGTCACGTCACTGTTTTGTTGATCTGAGTCCAGAAGCAAATTAAGACCTGGATTTGTATGCACTGGATTTTCTTCTATTTTTCCCTGGAATAGATTTGGCTTTTCAATGCAATTTAAGACTTGGCCCTTTGCTCATTTTTAAAAAAAAATCTAGTGGTCAGTCAGTGCGTGCACTTGAATTGTACATGAACTTGAAACACCCAATTTATATATTTTTGAAAAATATGTATCTTTCAGCCATCCGCTTTTGTTCCATGAATTTAGAGTTGATTTTGTATTATTATTTGGCAGGATGCTGAAGCACATGTTTCTTCACATGGTGCTGTTAAAACTTAAATAATATCCTCTTTCAAATGTTATTCATACTTATGTTTTTCACAAATCACTGTTTCACACAAATCACTAAGTTTCATCCAACTCGCCTTACTCCATGGAAACCCATTAACATGCTTAAGAATATCGAAACCAAACTGAGCCAGCAAAGATGACTGTTTAATCTGGAATATTAGCCGTCAGAACTCTGGGAGATAATCCCTTCTTCTCTTGAATATTCTCATGGGATCTTTTAACAAATGATAATCCTTGCATTAGTTATAGTTTGTGGATTGTTGGCCAGGATACGGGGAGAAACTCTTTTCACTTTTTGAAGGTGGGACCTTGGTTCAACATCTGTCGTATCTGAAGGCTGGCACCTCCCAACAATGCAGCACATTCCCAGCACCGCCTTGGATTGACAAAACAAAACAATAATAAATAGGTCATTTTCAATCTACGACTGTTTGTGGGACACTGCTGTGCACAATTGGCTGCCGGGTTTCGCCCACAAACATACGGTCAATTCACTTTACAGTCTATTCTGTGAAGCGCTTTGAGACATCAAGAAAACGTGAAAAGCGCTATATCAAATGCAAGGATTATTATTATTATAAATGTCAAACCCAATATACAGAAGACAACCAAATAGAATATAGGAAGTGCAGAAGAGGTTTGAAAAAGGAAATAAGAGGGGCAAAAAGATTATACAAAAAAAGTTAGTGGGTAACATTAAAGGGAATTCTAAAATATTTTACAAGCATATCAAGAAAATAAGGTTAGTCAAACGTAGGGTGGGGCCAATTAAGGACCAAGGGGGAAATCTTATTGTGGAGGCAGAGGGCATGGCTGACGTGCTGAATAAGTACTTTGCATCTGTCTTCACAAAAGAAGTGGATGCACCAAATGCCACAGTATCGGAGGAGAGGGTAGAGGAAATGGGTAGGTTAAGTATAAACAGAAAGGAAGTACTGAAAAGGTTGACTGCGCTGAAGGTAGATAAGTCGCCCGGTTCGGACGGGATGCAACCAAGGTTACTATGGTAGGCACGGGTACAATAGCGGAGGCTTTGGCTACAATTTTTCAATCTTCCTGGACACAGGAATGGTGCCAAAGGACTGGAGAGTGGCCAATGTGACTTCTCTGTACAAAAAGGGACAGAAGGATAAACCTTGGAACTACAGGCCAGTCAGCCTAACATCAGTAGTGGGGAAACTCCTGGAGACTATAATCCAAGACAGAATAAATCTTCACTTAGAAGAATATGGGTTAATAAGGGACAGCCAACATGGATTTGTTAAAGGCAAATCTTGTCTAACAAATCTTATACAATTTTTTGATGAGGTAACGGAGAGGGTGGATAAAGGTAGTGCAGTTGATGTAGTTTATATGGACTTTCAAAAGGCATTTGACAAAGTGCCACATGAAAGACTTGTAAGAAAGAAAGAAGCCCATGGTATAAAAGGGACAGTGGCAGCATGGATCCAGAACTGGCTGGGAGACAGAAAGCAGAGAGTTGTGGTGAACGGCGGCTTTTCTGACTGGATGGAAGTGTACAGTGGCATCCCCCAGGGATCGGTGTTAGGACCACTGCTCTTCTTAATATATATAAACGATCTGGACTTGGGAAAAGCAAGTAGCATTTCCAAGTTTGCGGACGACACAAAGTTAGGTCGGGTAGTAAAACAGTGAGAAGGATAGGAGCCAACTGCAGGAATACATAGACAGAATGGTAAAATGGGCAGGCACAGGCAGATGAGTTTCAATGTGGAGAAATGCGAGGTAATGCATTTTGGTAGAAAGAATGATGGGAGGCAATATAGGCGGGTAATACAATCTTAAGGGGGGTAAAAGAACCGAGAGATCTGGGGGTGCAGGTAAATGAATCCTTGAAGGTGGCAGGACAGGCAGATAAAGCTGTAAAAGGGGCATATGGGATACTGGGCTTTATAAGTAGGGGCATAGAGTACAAGAGTCAGGAGGTTATGATTAACCTATATAAAACACTGGTTAGGCCTCAGGTAGAATACTGCACCCAGTTCTGGGCACCACACTATAGGAAGGATGTAGAGGCATTGGAAAGGGTGCAGAGGAGATTTACGAGGATGGTACCAGGAACGAGGGACCTTGATTATGAGGAAAGGCTAGAGAGGCTGGGATTATTCTCATTGGAGCAGAGAAGGTTACGAGGAGACCTAATAGAGGTCTTCAAAATCATGAGGGGATTTGATAGGTTAGAAAGGGAAAAACTGTTTCCACTGGTGGGTGTGTTGGTGACTCGAGGTGAGGTGAAATTTTTTCACGCAGCGAGTTGTTCGAATCTAGAACGCATTGCCTGAAAGGGTGGTGGAGGCCGATTCGATAACTACTTTTAAAAACGCAGTGGACGGGTATTTGAGGAGGACGGGTTTGCAGGGTTATGGGGAAAGGGCTGGGGAGTGGGATTGACATTAATATCTCTATTCAAAGAGCTGGCACAAACTCGATGGGCCGAATGGCCGCTTTTTGTGGTGTACAACTCTTATGATTTGAAATGCTACTTTTTGTAGTCTTATACTTTTATAGTTATCTATTTTAAATCTTAATTATGTTTGCAGCACTGCTTTGGCTTGGGTACTAGGCAATTGAAAGAAAATTAGTGTAACCTCGAATGTTCCCACAGTGATTCAGAACAGGTGTTGTGAATGTGCTCTAACATCCAGACTCTTCTAAATATCTTGACTTGTTAGATAAGTCACATTCAGAGTCCTCAGCATCAGCCCAACCATATGTTTCCGTGCCTTGTTTCTACTATAGAAGGTGTTAATATAATGGTGCAATAAACATGCACCATTAAATACTAAACATGAAAAAGAGGTTCCACATTGTCTTTTAGATGTATGTACGTGTGGTTAAAGCTGAATACTGAGGATAATCCTTAATTGGGAGCTGGGGTTTATGGCTGCAATTTCGAAATGGTGTCTTTATGATCTCAACCAGGTGCAGAATGGAGATGCTTTCCCCTTAGGGAAAAGAAGAAAAAACAGTGGATCAACATGGCTACTTACTCTTTTTGGTAACTCGTTACAGTACATCATTGTTAGATGCCAGAGAGAAGATTGTATTTCATTCATTCAAGAGGAACTAAGGGCTAATGCTTGTGAAATCAACTGAAAACCACTTGCCTTTTTAAAATCAGGTTATTGTACATTAAAATATATTAATAATCCTTGCATTTGATGTAGTGCCTTATTGAGTCGTCAAGATGCCTCAGAGCTCTTCACGGAATAGATTGTAAAGTGGATCGACTATGTTTTCTCGGTGAAACTATTTTAAAATATTGTACATTTTAGACTTATATAATGTAAATTATTCAAGTGAAATTTACTTCATTGTGTAGCAATGTTTCCTTCGATTAGTGCAATATGTTACCTCTTGGATCACTGAAGATTTTTAAAAATGTGCTGATGATGCAACTTAACTGTAATTTTAAATAAAGGGAATTTGCCCTGTCCAGCAATGCTCTAGGTGAATTAATTATTCATTTGAGAATTTGAGCTTTGCGATGTCTGAACGTTATAATAAGGTGCAATATCAAATGCTATTATTATTATTCACCCAAATTTGTGGCTGTTTGTCGAAGACTTTGTTGGGTGGAAAGTACCTGCCCGGTTTGGTTGCAAAAACC